CCCCCCCCCCCAATTCAGCCTGGGGTACCGGCACTGAACGCGCGCCAAGGGCTAAGTGTCCTCTGAGTCTTTGCCGCCTTTTGGGGGCTGCAGCCCAGCTAACAGCCGTTGCCTACAGGAGCCGAGGGTGTACCCGTTTTGGTGTAAAAGGGTGTTGTCTTTCATCAAACTCAAGAGTCTGAAAGACCAGGATCCCTGACCAGGGAATGGGCCGTTTAACATCCTGGTCTAGGGCAGGGATGTAACAAAGAGAACGCCTGGGTCCTTGGTGCACACACATTTTTCAGAGTGTAGTGTGCAGGGAGAGCGATAATGTTATGAAATATCTTACGGGGAGCAATTTAGCAGCAACCACAAAGCAGCTAATTGTAGCTCAGGGCTGGTGTTTATGGAAGGAGATTAAATAGCACTTCAGCCTGGGACTTCTGTAACTTTTCTGAAAATGTAATTCTGCTCACCCATCCCAGGAAACTGGCAAAAGTTAAGTCGAATGCAATTTTGTATTGCAGCATTCAGTGTGTGCCTTTCAATATTTTCCGGAAAATTAACTGCCTTACAGAAAACATTCGATTATAAACGTATAGATGTTATTTATAATGTCCCAGCTGGGGACATATAAGTTTCTACCTCCTAGAAGAAATTGAGTTGAGATTAGCACAACCCACTTGGGAGGCGTTAAAATTATTCTTTTGGCCAATAACTGGAAGTGGCAGACGACAGGGGAGCAGCCATTAGCTGTGGGTTTTCAAATCCTGGCAATGCCCGAGCCTTCTTTGGCTTTCACAGATAATGCCCCTGTTGAAGTCGCTAAAATGCTTCTCCAACTGTTCTTTTTATTAAACAAACGATAGAAAATTATAACAACAGACTAAGGCCCTCAGCCCAAATATTAGCCTACTGGCCGAGAGAAAGGAAGAGAAAGACGGTATTTACTATTAATCTCTGAGTCAATATGTTAAGTTGAGGCAGAGCTAATCCATGTCTGATTATGAATTTTAAAAGCATTTACTGTCTGTACCAATGATGAGAACTCCCGTGATTGCTTCGTAACTGGTTTTTTTTTACTCCTCTAATAAGACTGCAAGCTCCTTAAATGGCAGTTAGACACTTAGTCTGCACAGGGCGCAATTATGTTTTTTTCTTACTTTGCTCATTATTCTTAACTGAAGACACTTGTCAGACATGCAATACATGTTCAATGTTTTGACCGAGTTATCTCAAAACTATTGTGACATGCTAAGAATAGAAAGAAGGGATTCCCAGCCTACTAGCGGGAATGTGTGTTCTCTACACCAATGCTTCATGTGTGGACGAGCTCAGGAGAAAAGGTGGTGAGCCTTCAAATAGATGTTACCCGGATGCAGTGTGGTGGTTCCCACCCGTGATCTTCACACTTGATAGTAGAGGCAGGAGGATCATGCTTCCAAGGCCAGCCTGGGCTACACAGCAACTTTGAATCTAGTTGAGACTACTTAAAAATGCTTATCTAGTCTAGGTTAGCTTCTCCTTTCCAGGAAAGGCTCCAAGGGAGAGTTGACCAACACAAGAAGACCTGCTCCGGGGTGAAGCCATTACCGACTAGGATTTTGTGCTGTGAAATCTTCAAGAGCCGATTCAGAATTTTTCTGAGTGTCCGGGATTATAGGGAGGGTTGGAGAAATCACAGAACCTCCATAGCAGGTTTCCAAATGTCACAAATGGACAAATTTAATCAAGAACATTCCTGATGACTTGAAAAGGTGTTAAAAGGACCTCTGACATCTAAAATAGATGGCAAAGACCTTACTCACGAGTGCCCCTGGGCCATATTTAAATGTTTCCTCCAAGCTCAGTGTGTCCACTTAGGGTATATTCTGGGGTCCAGTGTAGTAGAATGACGTCCTCACATGGAGCAGGATGCTGTTAGGGAGAAGGAATGGACCGGGCATCGTCATAATCAAGAGGATGGTGAAACTAGACCAGCAGACATGAAGACAGAGGCACAAGCCGCAAGATCTCTGCCCCCCTCCAAATAAAAGTCCCCCAGTGGCCTAAGGCCTGTTAGCACAGAGATGAAACACCACAGGGGGTGAAGAGACCACCCTGCAGAAACTCAGTACAAAACCTAATAACTGAACCCCGGGCCCCAAATTCTCGCCCCACCGGGAGCCCTGCTTTCACCGTGATATCTTTGCCCATTGGCCATGCATTTTTCTTATGGGCATCCCAATGAAGAAAAGAATCAAAAGCATCCCTCCTATTTTCAGGACTCTTTTATTTAACTGTGGCATTTATCTTCTTAGAAGCATTTACAGCTATACAAAGTAAATATAAGTTCTCACTCTTTGTGTGTGTGGGGGGTGGGGGTGGGGGGGTGTTGAGAGTAGGTTTTATTAAATAGCCCAGATTGGCCTGGCCTGGCCTGGAACCTGCTATTGATATAGCCCAGGCTAACCCCAAATTCTCAGTGCTCCTGCCTTAGTCTTCTGAGTGCTCGGATGACAACACACACACCGCCTGAGAAGCATCTGTGACTTCACTTAAAGGCCTTCTCCGGGCTCGTTAAGACTCTGCTTTATCTCCCCCATTCAGATACACCCCAACCTGCCTTACATGCAGCACCACCCATCAACTCTAAGTGTGATCAGTTAGAATAAAAAAAAACTTCCAGTGTCCTTAACGAGTCTAGGACTCCTAGTTATGTAGCCTAAAGACACATCTGCAGTTTTGTGACACTGGCTGATCATGCTTGACGTAAAACCTTTTGTATGTATTGGTTTCTCACAGGCCATTAAGATTCAGGGAAATTCCCAGGAGTCTACAAGGATGACCCCAGATAAGACTCTAAGCAATCGTAGGGAGGGTGCCTGAACTGAACTTCCCCTGTAATCAGATTGATGACTACCTTAATTGTCAGCATAGGACCTTCATCCAGTAACTGATGGAGGCAGATGCAGAGATCCACAGCGGAGCACTGGGCGGAGCTCCTGGAGTCCAGCCATAGAGAGGGAGGAGCGGTAATATGAACAAAGGGGTCAAGACCATGATGGGGAAACCCACAGAATCAGCTGACCAGAGCTAGTGGGAGCTCACTGACTCCTGACAGACAGCTGGGGAACCAGCATAGGACCAAACTAGGCCCCCTGAATGCAGGTGACAGTTGTGTGTCTTGAACAGTCTGTGGGGCACTGGCAGTGGGGTCAGGATTTATCCCTAGTGCATGAACTGGCTTTTTGGAACTTGTTTCCTATGGCGGGATACCTTGCTCAGCCTAGATACAGTGGGGGAGGGCACTGGTCCTGCCTGAATGTGATGTGACAGACTTTGTTAACTCCCCAGGGGAGGCCTTACCCTCTCTGAGGAGTGGATGGGGGCGATGAACTAGGGAGAAAGTAGAGAGAGCAGGAGGAGGGGAGGGAGAGAGAACTGGGATTGATAGGTAAAATTAAAAAAGATTGTTTTTTTTTAAAAAAAAATAAAAGATTTGGAGCATGAATGCATATCGTAAACATTCACTCAGTGGTTAAAAAAAACAATCCTCAGGTTCAAATTACTAAATCTAAAAAACGGTTAGGGGAAATAGCTCAGTTGAATAAGGACCTGAGTTTAACCCTCAGAACCCACACATTCAAGAAGAAGTGCTGAGCTTAGGGGTATGTGCTTGTCATTCCAGCCCTGAAGAGGCAGAGACAAATGACCTGGGGTTCCCTGGCGAGTTCCAGGTCTCTGAGAGAATCTGTCTAAAAAAAATAAAATAAAGTGATGACACCCGAGGAAGTATACCAAAGATTGTGCTCTGGTCTGCACAGGCAAATACATACCACCACCACACACACTAAAACACACTCCTACGCTAACTAAAAAAAGTCAGAATATTTAAAACAAAGTTTCCCTTCTAAATGGAGAAAGTGTCCACTTCCCGAATTAAACGCCTCTACTCCACGTGACACTAGTTTACTTCGCCAAGGAAAGACAGGATGCTTTATCCTTCCTTTAAGGATCAAGAAACATTATCCCTTTCGCCCCCATCGCACGAATGTGAGCGTCTCATGACCCACAGAGAATTGTACAAAGAGAAAGTGACAGGAGAGATGTCACCACTAAACTTAGATCATAAATATGTAAACACCTAATGAACGGAATGGCACTAGGGCTAGGCTTGTGGATCAGAATCTCCCTGCTTCTCTGTCTTCGTCTATGGGTACAAACTTCTCCCCGTTTGGAGCTGGGAGACCTTGTGGAGAAGGTCGGATGGAGACATGCTCCCCTTGAAATCATCTCCCGTTCTGTTTTCTTCCTGGTCTCTGCCCTTCACGTGCCTTTTAAGAACATCACTTTAGGAGTTTCCCCAGGCTTTAATCTAAGCCTCTTGCCAATGGGACTGTTTCTTGTTTCACATGCTTCCTGGCTACAGCTGCTCATTCCCAGGGAGGGAGGGAGAAGGCCTTTGAAAACACACACACCAGCTCCTCAGGAAGGTAACCGGTACCTTTCTTTACAAAACATGCTCTCCTGCTCGCTTGTGTTCTAATTAATGAGATGGAGCTAAGGAGATGTAAAGCAACGAGGTCACACCTCTGTTGCCAATGCAGAGGTATGTTCTACCGGGGCACTGCTTCC